CCTGCCACAAAGGCTAGAAACTCCAACAAGCCTAGAGATCTCACTTAAAAAAAATGCTGACAGGGAAACAGGCCAGCCACATAATTAACCACCACTGCGTAAACCACGGGGTGAGAAGAAACAGATAAAAGAGGAGAAAGAAAAGGGAGAAGAGGAGGGAAAGTGGGAAGACGATAAAGACCTCCAGCTGAAACTTTTGGACCCTTTTATTAAACTTGGTTTTACTAAACTTTACTAAACTTTATCACTCCCTTACCTCACAAAAGCAAACTTTAATTTCAAGAGGAAATAAGATAAACACTGCAAAGTGATGAGTTCCTGTTCCTAGGTGATTACTTTTGCCCATAATCACTGGACTCTACCTTTTCCCCGGACACTGTCAACAAAAAAGTAGCATTAATTGGTTCAGGAATCACCTGTCATGAAATTAAATGTAAATGCAGGGATGTTTCTTTCTCTTTTTTTTTAATATGAAATTTATTGTCAAATTGGTTTCCATACAACACCCAGTGCTCATCCCAATAGGTGCCCTCGATACCCATCACCCACCCTCCCCTCCCTCCCACCCCCCATCAACCCTCAGTTTGTTCTCAGTTTTTAAGAGTCTCTTATGTTTTGCCTCCCTCCCTCTCTAACGTCTTTTTTTCCCCCTTCCCCACCTCCATGGTCTTCTGTTAAATGCAGGGATGTTTCTAACAACTAGGAAGCCTATTAGACACTTTCTTAAAATATCATACTTGAAGAACATGCTAATATATACGAAAAATCATTTTTTGTTTCATCCATTATAAGATGCTTCATAGAAAATGCTCTTCATTCTCTCAACTTTCCTATTTAGCAAACAGGAACTTCTTGCCCTTCTCTATGTTTTTAGTGGAACACAAGCCAAAAAACTCTTCAGTGTTTACTTCCTTATTTGTCCAACAAATCATCATCAGTGAAGTCAGCAGCAACTGAACAACCCTGAAAGGAATGTTTATTAACTAAATACTGTTCCAAGCCAGTTTAGGAATACAAAAAACATGACTTAGCTCTAAGTCTCAAGAACAGAATTATGACCAATGTTCCCTAAACTCGGGTCCTTCCTGGAGCCAATAAGCCTCTGTAGTATCAGAGTTTCACATAGTTTTAACAGTTTCTCTTATAGGAGTATATTTATAAAGACACAGTTTTTATTTAGTTTTTTAAATTTATTGTTTATTTTGAGAGTGAGCGAGCACATGAGCAGGGGAGGGGCAGAGAGAGGGTAGGGAGGAGAGAGAATCTCAAGCAGGTTCTGAGCTGTCAGTGAAGAGCCTGACTCAGGGCTCCATCTCAGGAACCATGATTATGACCTAAACCAAAACCAAGAGTTGGATGCTTAAGTGACTGGCCACTCAGGTGTCTCCTAAAGACACAGTTTTTAAATATAACTGTTTCTAGCCTAGTCATAGCATAAAGTTGCCAGTTGCTTTTGTTGTCATTGTTATTTACCTTAATAAAATACTACATGCCTTAAAGATCTGAAACAAAAGTAACAAACCATGAAAGCACGTATGACTTCCTCATTCTCAGAAATGGCATACATAGGAGGGCCTGGGTGGCTCAGTTAGTTAACCTTCTGATGCTTGATTTAGCCTCAGGTCATAATCTCACGTGTTTGTGAGATCAAGCCCAGATTGAGCTCAGCATCGGGCTCATGGAGCCTGCTTGGGATTCTTTCCCTCCCTCTGTCTCTGCCCCTCCCCTGCTCATGTGTGCATGTGCTTTAACGCATGCTCTTTCTCTCCCTCTCTGAAAATAAATAAAGATTTTTAAAAAATGGCATACATACATTTATACTTTCACTGGTGGCATTTGAATGGTTTGGGAAGAGATTAATAATCATACATATTCTATTTGTTTATATTCCAATGTTTATTCTATTACCAATATGGGAAAAATTTTTTTCTTCCCAATCTGCTCCCTAGTTCCTTCCCCCCTTCTACCTCACCCCAAACAGTAATCATTTATTTGCAAGAATCATTACCAAATAAATATAAATAAGCCCTAACAATGTATAAAGCTAAGAGACAAGTTGGTTATTACAAAGCAATGAAGCCAAAAGCAATTCATTTTAAGTTAATTTAAAATTTATAAACTCAAAGTAGGCTGTACTGATTCCATTTTCTTCAGTTGTAAAATATTCAACCTATCTGATAAATGAGCATCTAATAACAAACGGTAACAGCAATAAGATTAAACTATATGAAAGCACAGAACTGAGAAAGTCTATTTTTCTTTCTCCCTATTAAAAAAATCACCAAATTTCATTCTACAAGTTTTATACTGAACACTGAGCTGTTTTTACTCACAGTGCTTCTGATACCAAATGTGTGGGGGTTTTTTTTCACACCAACCATTTCTCCAATTTTCTGACACCAAATGGGATGTATCCAACATTTCAATTCTGACACTATCTGCCTGAAGTTACCAACAGGTCCCCATAAGTGAAAGGGCTCAGTCCCACAAGCCTACCCCACTTCAGATGCCAACTGCAAGTCCCAGGCCACTTATACTTCTGATTTACTGCATACGAATCTGGGGTTCCCACAACCCCCTTCAGGACTGATAATAAAACCAGAGAGAGAGAGAGAGAGAGAGAGAGAGAGAGAGAGAGAGAGAGAGAGAGTGTTTTCCATGTGCTCTTCAGGCACTTCAATGTTTAGGGCTTTTCTTTTTTTTGGGGGGGGGGGGGAGGGGGATAGGCTCCACCACCTAGGCATTACTGATTAAAACATCAGCCGCTGGTGACTGAACTCAGTCTTTGACCCCTCTCCCCTCCCCAGAGTTCAGGGTGGAGCTGAAAGTTCTAGCCCTCTGCACACGTGGTTTGTGTTTCTAGAAATCTGAGTCTATCTAGGGACCCCAGCCACCTGTCATTTCAATATCTAAGACACTCTTATCCCTCCACCAAATTCCAATAGTTTTAGGAGACAAAGACCAAATGTTTATTTGTTTTTTATTATACCATAAGCACGTATTCTGCTCTTTGTCACTGTGAAAGTTAGTGGGAGATTTTTTAAAAGAATGCCATTCTATAACAGAGATCCTTTTTTAAAATAACAAAACAGGGTTGCCAGGGTGGCTCAGTGGGTTGAGTGTTGGACTCTTGATTTTGTCTCAGGTCATGATCTCTTAAGGGTCATGGGATCAAACCCTGTGACAGGCTTGGTGCTGAGCATGGAGCCTGCTTAAAAAATATTTTCTCTCACTCACTCTCTCTCTCTCTCTCTCTCTCCCCCTCCCTCCCTCCTTCCCTCCCTCTCTCTCTCACACACTCTTGCTAAAAATAAAAAAATAAAAGAAAAATAAAAGAAAATAACAAAACATAAGACTTTAAATATTCAAATAGGTGCCATCATCCAAAACAATTACCTCTGGAGAGTATATCGTGTTCTGATATTCACATTTCTTTCAAAACCAGATTACAAACCACCCAAGAAAATCAGCAATTATGCAGCATCCATACCACACAGATATTTCCAATACAAATCTCCTAATTCATTATAGCTTTCAACTAATAAAGTTTTTTTGGCATATCCAACTATCCATTATGCCAAATTATGCCATTAAAATTGGTAATTGTATATCAACAAAAATACATAAAGGAATAAATAGGCCTCTAACATAGAAGGTAGCATTTAAAGCAATTTTTTAAACATTGTTTAGTGCTAGTCAATGTTAGCATTCAGAAATGCATCCTTCCACGGTTTCCTAAGATGGCAACTTAGATTTAGATATGTGAGTTCAAATATGTTTCTTTTCTGTTTTTCAAGTCTCATTATGAACCTATTTTTATATAAAAGAAGCACATAATTCAACAAGCTAACAATCTTTACAGAATGAAAAGACAGGGAAAAAAGTAAACTAATAATTGGCATAAGCTTATATTCTTTTCAAAAAAACTGTTTCTTGTATATACTTGAAGTCACTCTAATAACCAAACTAAGTTTACACGTCTATAACATACCATTTACAGCTTTTTCAATCAATTCTTCACAAGCATCAAAATCACCCTTCAACACCAGTTTATCATGTAGATCTGTTAACATGGGATGTTCCAGGGCAATCCTGGTTTTTTTTTGCAGCGATTCAAAGGCCTCTGTATAGTTGTGTTGTCTAAAGTGTTTTAGGCAAAGGCGAATGGCTTCCTGTTCACGGTACTACTGGAACACAAGAGAAAGTATGAAAAGAAGAGATTTGCTTAGTTATTACTGTAGGCAATAATAAGTGACAACAAACCTAAAGTGAGCGTTTACTATGTATTAAGCACTGTACTAACACTCTTCATTAGTATCATTATCATTCCCACTTTGAAATGGCAAAACTAAAGCTTAGTCCATTGTAATCGCTTGCCAAAAGTCACAAAGTATATAGCAGAAAGATATGAAAAAGATAAATGTATACAAATATACCCACAGGTATGTATTTCATGAAGTTGAAAGATATAAAAAGATGAAACCAAACCTTGAGCCTGAACTTTTAAGAAAAGAAGCAGAAAAACTGTTTATCAAAGACCACTGAAGACTACCAAGATTATAACGTCTATAGCTTTTACTAATCAGATTGCAATGGTGGTACTGAAAGCACAGAAACCATTACACGAAACACAGAAGTCATCACGCTTTTTGTTCTTGGTTCTTAGTAATAAGTTATTACTTGAAAAGCAAATATTATCCAATGTTTATATATTTCAAAATTCACAAACAGGTTTTATGCCTCAAAATGTTCAGAAAGAGATTACTTAAATTTTATAATTTTTTCCATGCCTGGCTACCTTATCTATTAAATAGCTATAAAGTAAACATCTCAATTAACTAGAATCCAAAAAGAATGTTGAGTTTATTAACTCTCTAATAGGATGAATGCCAAAAATACAAGCTCAGATTTTTTTGAAAAAGTAACTTCAAGAATACTTTATGAAATTTCCACAAATTTCCAAAGTTAACAAAATTAATGACAAAAAAGCAATGCATGATGACCAAACAAAAATATGATTTTCTTATAAGCATTATTCTTTAATAAGGCAAAAAATAATACTACCTTTTAGAAGATTTATAAGACTTGAAACACAAATAAGCTTACAGTTGGCTGATTTTTTTATTAATAAAATGTCAAAATATCTTTCCTTAAGTATTACAGTTAACCATGATTTTCCTTTCAAATAACAAAAGATTATTTATCCAAACTAACTTTACATTATTAATTTATTACCCTTGGCCTCTAAAGATTTATCATGACTATCAAGAAATATACTAAACAGTGATACCTTTCAATCATGTTGCCTTTAGGAATGTGAGTCATAACCACATTTTAAGTTTTCTATCAAGTTGTATACAGATACATAGAAGGAGAAAATTTATGAAATAATAGAATTTTAATGCTTTAAGAAAAACACTAAAACTCAAAGAGGATGAAGAGTTATCTAATTTCTAGAGGTTCATAATAAATGCAGAGAACTTGAAAAGTGAACGAGGCTGAACAATTTTATGCTCTCAAATATAATCTCTCCACAAGGCTGGGGGGTGAACAGGTGAAATGTGCAACTTCCTACAATATCAAGAGATTTGTGTGAGTATGTTAAAGAAAACACACACCCACACACACACCATAGGCTAAAGGGAAAATTTTATTCAGTAACAGAGAAATTTAACCATTATTTTTTAAAAGAACCAACAGAATTTAGAAGATGTTACGTATGTACTATTATGTGTGTAACACTGTAAAGGTGATTTTTAATATTTAAAAATATTGTCTCGGGGCGCCTGGGTGGCGCAGTCGGTTAAGCGCCCGACTTCAGCCAGGTCACGATCTCGCGGTCCGTGGGTTCGAGCCCCGCGTCGGGCTCTGGGCTGATGGCTCAGAGTCTGGAGCCTGTTTCCGATTCTGTGTCTCCCTCTCTCTCTGCCCCTCCCCCGTTCATGCTCTGTCTCTCTCTGTCCCAAAAATAAATAAACGTTGAAAAAAAAAATTAAAAATATTGTCTCTACCTTGAACAAACTTACAGTATGACAGGGAATCCAAGAATATATGAAAAATACAGAAAATACTAAAAGTCGGCATCAATTTTAAGTTGAATATAATCAAATGCCAAAAATAAATTAGTCAAAGACTTCCTCAATTAAACTAACCAGAAAAAAGCTGAAATTCTACACTAAAAACCTAAGAATCTACACTGCTTCCCAACCTTCTAGGAGTAGATCAGTTCACCCCTACTTGAAAATAAAAATAACAGGAAGTGGTGATTGGACTAAAATTTTATTATCTTCTTGACAAGAGAGCCCCGCCCCCCAAAAAGTCATGAGTCGAATAAATATACATCAAAAACAAAAAACAAAGTATAAAGGGTATGCAAAAAACCCAGATCTATTCCTCAATAATTTAAACTCACATTTTTCAGACTGCATCTATTGTATAAAATAGTCTATGAATACAACTGCTAAATATAATTCTTATACTTCCTATAAGCACAAGATCATAATATTTATAAAAACTATTTCAAATTCTTTAAAAGAAAATATGCCTATTTTATTCAACAAATACAATGGAGTAATGTATTATAAAACCAATATAGAATCAAAGCTAGTCCACTAAAAACTGTGTTTAAATATTTCTATCAATATAGGCTGAAAACAAAATTCAGGGTCAGACAGGTAGTAACATAATGCCAGACCATCTGAGTTTATATGCTGGCTTGGGCACTATACAATTGTGTGGACTTGGGTAAGATACTAAACTCTCGGTGCTCTATTTCATCATCTATAAAATAGGGATGATAATTGTACCTATCTCACAGAGTGGTAATGATTAAATACATCATAAAGATTTCTTAGCAGCTGGCAGAATGTAAATAATAAATGTTAATTAAGCATTACAGTTATTATTATTCTCAATAGCAATGAAGACAAAAGACTGACACATGTCTCCCTTTATAGGAATCAGAAACATAAAATAAGGATTTTAAAGCACAGTCCTACCTTGCTATACCAGTTGAGACAGGGCTGTACTACATCAGGATCATCAATGCCACTAAGTTCAACATACCAGATGCTAAAGTTAAAGCTGGGTCCCCAGGATAAGAGTGGAACTTTGTGAAGATAAAAAAGAAAGAAAAAGAAAAAAAAAATTAACATAGTTCAAATAAAACTTTAGCAAAGTAAAATCACTATTCGAGCTTATTAAAATTCATTCAGCAAATTTTCGGAACATTTTCTAGAAGCCTAACACTGTATTATTAGGTGCTGGGGCTACAGTAAAAAAAATTAAAACAAAAATAAAAATAAAGAAAATATGAATCATTCCATCTAGAGGATTCTTTGACTATAAAAACACTATAAAATAAGTTTAAAGTGCTCATTTATTTACCCCTCTAAAAACAGGACAAGGCTAGATGACTAAGTAGGCAAATTTTTTCAAACCCACAATAAACAAATAATTACTATATAAATTAAACTATATCAACACACAAAAAGAGATCAAAAGTTCAATTACTTAACAAGTGGCATAACCCTGAAAACAAAACCAGAAGAAAAAGAACTTAAGGCTAATCTCAACTATATATTCAAAAATTTTTAAAAGTTGCAGAAACATTCTACCAGGTTTTCACTGTAACCAAATGGGAGTTCACTGCAGGAATGGAAGGATGGTTTAACAACAGAAGCTATATTAATAATTCACAATGTTAACAAAGTAAAAGAGAAATGTGTTTGATAACTTCAAATAGTGCTAAGAGTAAATTAATATTCATTTCCTATTCATTAAAAAAACCCTTTTAATATATAAGAAATAGAAGGCAAAATAAAACTACCTAAGCTAGATTTTTTTTTTTAATATCAAAGGCCTCAAAAACTGAACTTAACGGAGAAACATTACATGTTGCCACTCAAGTCAGGAATCAGACAAAGCCCAATTATCTCTATTATGCAACACTATATGGGAGATCTTATCAAATGTGGTGAGAAAAAAAATGCAAATTAAAAAATATTAACACCTGAGAATGATAAACCTATCTTCTTAAATAATTCAAGAGATTCAACAGGAAAACTTAAGTTTGTATGCAAGGTAAACATGAAAATCAGTTTTCCCTCTACTTAGAATAACCAACTAGAAAATATAATGAAAAAGTCCTATTTAAAATGGCCAAAAGAACTTACAATATCTCAGAAGAAAGTTTAAAATATGCAAGATCTATTTAAGAAAATATAGAGTTTTACTTAAGAAATGAAAAAACGAAATGACATACTACGTTCCTAAATGGAAAAACTCAATGTTGTAAACATCTCAGTTCCCTTCAATTATAAATTTAATGTAATCTCAATCAAAGTCTCAATAGTACATATCCATTTTATTCTTTAAAGATTATAAATAATTTCTGCGTGGGGCTCGAACTCACAACCCCAAGAGTCACATGCTGCACTGACTGAGCCAGCCAGACACCCAATATTCATTTATCTCTTGTCATGTACCTGAACAAATTGGTTTTTAAAAAATGAGTAACACAAGAATATCCAAAAGAAAGTAAACTTTCTAAAAATACATAGTAATTATAAGTTTGATATTAGTGGGGGAAAAGGAAGATAAATTACTGAAGCAGAAAAGTATATCCAAAAATCTCAAGGTTCAGAGGAATTTACCTACCACAGGATGAAGGTAACATTTCACTTCAGTAATGACAGAACAAAGTAAAGGTTTTAAACATATGATCCACTGTGTCTTGGGGACCCCTGCAACCTTTTCAGGATGTACCAAGTGGTCACAACCATTGTTTATAATAAGACTAAGATTTTATCATTATTTATCATTACATTTTTAACTGTACTGACATTTGCACTCTTGGTGAAAAGACAATGGTGAGTATAACTTCCGACACATCAGCAGTGCCATGAAAAGCAGTAGCATGAAAATGTGTTAGTATTCTTGATACAGTAGAGACTGCACTGTATTCCTCACCATCATATACTTGCAGTTAAAAAAAGGAAAATACAGGGGCACCAAGGTGGCTCAGGAGCTAAGGTATACTAACTACATCAGTCGGATAAGCGCTCGACTTCAGCTCAGGTCATGATCTCACAGTCCATGGGTTCGAGCCCCACATTTGGCTTTGTGCTGACAGCTGAGAGCCTGGAGCCTGCTTTGGATTCTTTGTCTCCCTCTCTCTCTTCCCCTTCTCCGCTTGTGCTCCCTCTCTCTCAAAAATAAACATTAAAAAAAAATGTTTAAAAAGAAAAGCATGGGGGGGGGCCTGGGTGGCTCAGTCAGTTAAGTGTCTGACTTTGGCTCAGGTCATGATCTCACGTTCGTGGGTTTGAGCCCTGTGTCGGGCTCTGTGCTGAACGTTTGCTCAGAGCCTGGAGCCTGCTTTGGATTCTGTGTCTCCTTCGCTCTCTGCCCCTCCACCGCTTGCACTCTGTCTCACTGTCTCTCAAAAACAAGTAAATGCAATAAAAAAATTTTTTAAAGAAAAGTACAGGGTCACCTGGGTGGCTCAGGCTCAGTCGGCTGAGCATCCGACTCTTGATTTCATCTCAGGTCATGATCCCAGGGTTGTGAGATCAAGCCCCGCATTGGACTCCATGCTGAGTGTGGAGCCTGCTTAAGATTCTCTCCCTTTGCCCCTCTTCCCTGCTCACTCTCTCTCCCTCCCTCTTTATTTTTTAAAATAAAACAATTTTTAAAGGACAATTCATTTAAGAATGTCTTTGATGACACAATAAAAATTTTTAATAAATTCCTAACATTAAGGACAAATCTTTTTAATATTCTGTGTGACAAAATGGCAAGTACACATAAAGCACTTCCACTGTATACCAAAGCATGGCGGTTACCTCAAACAAAAGAACCCGTACAGCTGTTTGAGTTATGAGCTATAATTGTCATTTGTCCCCACCACCACCAATAGGATACAATTTCCTCTTAAAAGGAAAAGTTATAGGCAATCTATGATTATTGAGTTTGGGGTATATGCCAGATATTTATCAATCATTTCAAAGAAAACAACTGACAATATTTGTTGCCAAGGATAAAGTTCAAGCTTTCAAGGAAAAATGAGAATTTCAGAAAATTGGTATCTAAGGTTGTGAATTTAACTACTTTTAGGCAATTTCTGATGAGACTGATGGTGATATATTAATGACCATGATTTTTTTAATATTACAGAATGAAATGTTTCCACATTTGGGAGATCTGCATAACTCAGTAAACTGTATTTCTAAATGAACAATGAATGATGTTACAAAACCATGCACGGATAAAAGACTAACTCAAAGTGTAAGATAAGCCAATGGGTTTTAATGTAACACTAATATGGTTCAGAATGAATAATGTAACTATTCAGAAACTAACACTTGTCAAGTTTTAAGTATCAAAACAGAATAGCCATCATATTTGATATCAAACCTATTGATTTCCAAGTCCACTGCTCTCTTTTAGCACATCATGCTCAATGAGGAGCTACGTCAGATGACTTCCTATCTGTGTGAGTGAAGAAACACAAAGGCAGTAGCCACCAGTTATTAGGATATATGACTGACTATTAGGATGTTTAATATGGCTTTCAGTTTACATGTGCAAACGACAAAAATGTCAAAAAGTTTTATACCACTGAATACTAAATCATCATCATTGTTTTGGTGTTCATTCCTTTATGTAGCAGTACCATTTAAAAAGTAAAAAGTTGATCTATTACATCACAGCAATAACCATTAAGTAGTAGGAGTCAAAATAAAATAGGATTCTAAACCCAAGGCCAAAAGAACATATAGTCTCTAAGTATAACCAGACATTAGTTAGTAATTTGAAGTTCCAGGTCCAAGTTCAATAAGATTTGGAGGAAAAAAAATATCTTAATATATCTTACTCAAGTCCCAATAAAATGTTCACTTTATTAAAGACCTTTTAGCAATTGTGTTTTAGTGAGATTTTGTCTATATACTGGATGACCCAACAGAAATATTTCTAGACTAATATTAGTTATACTTAAAACCTTTCAGAGAACAAGAAAATCATATATTAAAGATGAAGAGTATAATTTTTTAACAAATTGAAGGGATCTATAAAGAATAAGCAGAGTAATGTACACTCGCTTCAAATTTTACAAATGATTTTTATAGCATTAATAATTCTAATAATACATAATAGACATACTACACATTATATTTCTGAAATCTAGGGGCGCTTGGGTGGCTCGGTTGAGCGTCCAACTTCAGGTCATGATCTCGCAATCTATGGGATCGAGCCCCATGTTGGGCTCTGTGTTGACAGCTCAGAGCCTGAAGCCTGCTTCGGATTCTGTGTCTCCCTCTCTGCCCTTCCCCTGCTCACACGCTGTCTCCCTCTCCTCAAAAATAAATATTTTTTAAAAAGTTAAAAAAAAAAAGAAAA